ACATTCGCAACACATGCCCAAGCCACCGCAGCTGTGACTTCTCAATCTGGAGAAGCAAAAGCTGTATTCCAAGGCTCGCTTCTCACTATCGCAATTCTCACTTCTTAACCTGTGGATAGATGAAACCACAAAACAGGATATCAGAATATCGTCAAATCTCGTTAGAAAGTTGTCAGTATTAAAAATTGGGGATTTGCACCTAATGTGCGGAATCACTTTCGCAGGTTCCATAATATTACCCTAATAATATGCCTTTATGAAACGTGCTGTAGGTAATACAATACTAAATATTATGAACGTTACAGATTCGTACTGAACATTCATCTCTTCACAGTGCTAAGTCGCATGAGAGTCCAATTGCAACATTTCACAGGACGAGAAAGCGCCACCATCACCATATTTTATCACACTTTATTCAAGGCGGCAACCACGTCATTCACAGTTTCTGCCAAATTTTTAATACCGTAAGATTATCCAACTAACGAAAACGCTTTCCACGTTTGTGTACTTTTAAAATTTTAATCCTGAACATAAAAATCACTGTCCATCTGACCGTACCACTCTCTGAAGGAAGCCATCAATCATCGAAGGGAGAGTGATGGCTCATAAAGAATTAATGAAATGATTTAAAGAAGTAGAGAATGCCTGAGACATGATGTGCAGGAATGAAACTGAAGTTCCTTCAGTCCTTCATGTTTTTTTCATGATCAAGACCTAGAAATTCATCAAAGCCAACAAATTAAATTTTTTACATTAATATCCTTGACCGTACCTGTGAAAAAGAATATTTTTTTTGTCTTTTTCAAATGCTTCAGACACTGGGTCAGAAGATTTGCCATTGATGATATTGCTTATTAACACTGAATCAGCAGGAACATCAACATCATGCACCTTTGCAGGGTAGCCACAATCGTTGAATCTACATTATATTAGTCATGTGACACGTTAATAACATAAATACGCTGCTTACTCCGGTCAATTTCGCACGAACGATCGGCATTTTCAATACTGTCCAAAACGTCTTTCTTTAGGTTAAACAGTTTTGCTAACCTCTGGACTATGAATCAGGGTAACAAAACCTTATTTTCAACAAAATAATATCACTGGCGCCTATTTCCAGTTGTCGTTCATTCAAGATGATCTGAACCTTTGCAGCTGCTTTCGATACAGATGCAAGCTAACAAACTTTGTGATTCACAGACCGCTTAAGGGTTTGTCGCGAACGTTCGCGGTTGCTCCAGCGCCTGGAGGAAATACGTCTGACCACAGTCATACCCGTTGGTTTGTGCAGTTCAACTGTAGCTGACTCTCCACGTCTTAAATATGATATCGGATTTTCTTAATACAAATTAAACGTTCATCAATTCGTTTCCTCTTTCATGTGCACATTCACTTTGTCTCGTTCGTCTTTTACTCATTCAGTTTTTCTTTCCTTCCTTTCCTTGTTCATCCCTTCCTTCCTCCCTTGAATAAATATGTTCCTTCGTGTTTACTCCGATTGTAGCGAATCGAGACGTTTCCAAGTACTAGTAGTGTAAAAGTACGTTTAAAATGATGCGACAGTTTCATCATGGATTCTAAAGACTGACCTGCCGCACTGTCATGTTGCTAACCCCTGAAGGCTTAATCACTCGAATCACGGGTTACCCTTGGCACAACGCTGAATTCCAATCCCGACATTCCCCTATTCTTTTCGTGGTATATGCGAAAATTTGCTACAGATTAACCCAACACTGTACTACCAAGAGCGGAAATACCTATGCAGTCCCGCAAGATCACTGAAAGAATGGTGTCTCAGCCATCTTCGTCTCCAAAAGTGCTAAAGACACCATTTCACAACGGTGACAAATATTTATGTTCATTTCTGCACAACCCTACATTGCATTCCAGCAAAGGCATTTTGAACTTGAGGAGCGCATCGTTTGTTAGGGGGGAGTACAAAACTACAGGTCACTTTCTACTGGTAAGGCAAAAATACATGGTCGAGTGACGAAAGCCTTGCATCGGCTCGGTTCGGCGGCATTGCAACGGATGCCGAAGTATGCTTACGGTATCTACGCGTAAATGAGCTGAAGTTCGCGCTGTATGTGAAATAGCCAGATTATGGTCGGAAAAGGCCATCATGATAACGGCATGTAATAGCGGTGTATGCGATTGAATGGCAGTTTGAAAGGCGCGTTTTGAAACAGGCGATTTTGCCCGAAAATCAGCTATTGTTAAGCTGTGTCGCAGTAGAATGATCGGCTCGAAGTGGCATAGAAAGGAGCAAAAACTGAAGTACCTTTCGTCTGAGAACTCGACGACTGGAAATTTGTATTTGCCGTTCGTCATAATTCGCGGTGGATCAAAATGTCGCTAGAGGGTGGTCGCCCCGAGGAGGTCCCTGCTGGCCGACGGTCTGTCGCTCGATCACCAGCACAAAGGGCGCAGCGGGCCAGTAGAGCGGCACCGACTCTTCCGTACCCTCGTTCCAAGGCATGCCTTGATTATCGGTCGAGAAAACAGGCGATGAGCCCCTGTTGAGGACGGAAATGAGTTCGCCCTCTCGACAGTACTTGAACGCTCGCGCGTAGTCGTTAGACTCAGAAAAAGTTGCAGGGCGAAAAACCGCGCGTTATGGCCACTTTACAACATTGTACAACGGTTTGGCATCGTCGACTGAACGCCACTTCTTGCAGACGACGCCGCTGTCGACGATTACAAATTATGGACAGTTAGAGCGGCAACCGCGCATTCCGCTCGCGACAATGAGTCGTCGACCTTGGACGAATCCACAGCTGGCATTCGATCGACTTTAGTTACGAAATTGTTCGATTATGAGGAACGACAAAAAGCCGCCATTATGACGAAGCAGCGTGCCCTCGTACCCTCGTGGGCGACACTGTCCTCTCCTCGGCGCGACGGCATGTCGCAACGCTGCGTCTGCGGGCCACCTCGAGTACAAATTCTGTCTCAAATGGAACAAATAACTGCTTTGACTACGTAATATCAAGGCATGCGTTATTTCTTTGCAGCTATCTTCAGAGATTATTGTAAACGACCTATTGGCGCAATCGGAATTGACCTTTGTGTGTTTGTATTATATGGTTGTTCAGTCTTCTCATCGTTAGATCCAGAGCCCGAAAGTCCCAGGTTCGAGATCCGATTCAGTCACTAGTCGCGCTTCCTTCTGATCTTCGTGATATTAACAAATGAGTACCGCTGCATTAAAAAATTGGGAGATTACACATTATTCTTGTCACACAGCTGCTGCCGAGTATGTATTAAACTAAGGCACTCTTGGCATAGAAATGGAAATCAGCACCCTACAATTAACTTGGTGCAAAAAAATGCGCCAGAAATGGTCCAGTCATTAAAGTATGAAGAGGGTCATCATTCCAACAGTTACAAACTTTCTTTTCTTATTTCCTTTTTATATAGTTCTTATAAAATGTTTCATTTCCATTTGCGATGAAAACAGCAAATTGCATATTCCCGTCGACAACAATCCCGAGGTCAATGCAATGGCCAGTTCTACGATTTCTAGGCAGCTCAGGATATCCTCTAAAAGCAATACTTTATTGCATTAGCTCTAACACGAGGGATATCGCCTTTCAACAAAACCGTTAACATCCGTTCACGATCACACGATGAGAGAAGCAGTTCCTGGCGAAAAACGAAATTCAAGTTCGTAACTATTGTACGTCACAGGCCTTGGCAACTGCGTCACAGACGCCATGGATGGTATTCTTCTTTCATGGGAGCATGGTTTAGCGCTGATTTCTGATGCTACGCCACGTGTCAACCGTTACTGTTTCTTTTGGAAGACCGCGCCTATGGCTAGTTGACTAAACTGGGACGCAGCTTATTCAGCCTAGAAAATCCTCAGTTCGCCCAGGGTACAGTAGTTTGAGATTTAGTCCTTTGAATACGCGAGAAGCGAATTTATAAACTTCGGCTTCCATTCTGTCAGCGTTTTGCCTAAATTGAAGTGTAATTTAATGCTGCTTCCGATACGCTCGCAGTTAATTGCCAAACGTTGTACCGCTTTCCCTTGCATGTAGCGATATGGGTAATGGAGAGGTACAATGCTGCCAACTATATCAGTATGGTATGGAGACAGTTGTTCTAACGAAGTACAAGAACGACTGGTAAACTGCATACTGCAGCGCTGGCTTTGATGCATAATACGGATCAAACGGCAGAAAAACATGACGAATTACTTTATACTTTTGGGACCTCAATTGATGTGCAGACTAAGAGGAGTTGTACAAACTGGTTGTGCATGCATCATTTACTTCGGCTTGTAACATTCTCGCATTGAAGTCGAAACACGCAGGCGCTGATCAAAAGGCCAGCGGGCAACTTGAAGTAGCGTGGAATATGTGATTCTGCTTTCGAGTGGAATATTTATTTCTGTGATTTGGTCATTGATGTCTTAAGCAAAAAGTGGTCACAACTTTGTGAAAATCAGAACCCAAAATCGGTCTGCTGAAGCAAACGACATTAGATGATGATCGTTCAAACACACGCAGCCATCGCCCATAAATTACGGGTTACGGATAAAAATCTTCTAAAGTCCAAGATGCACGTGTGATAATAGTAATCGATGATACTGGTGATCATGGTCATAACAATGATGACACGGGAAGGGATCGATGGTTTACTGTCAGTTACTAAACAAAGATTTTGCGCATGCTGCTGCTGTTGTTGTCATCGTCAACTGGGGACTCAATATCAAGAGAGAGAGAACACCCAGATTAATAACGTCTGTTTGCGCGTAGTAACCAGTATGACACTAATTTTTAATTTTTTGTGAATGCTTTTATGTAAGATTGAAGTTCCCTTTCTGTGAAAGTTGTTTCTGCTAGAATCGACTTGAAATGCCTGAACCTTTTTGAAATATGCAATTAATCAATCGTTCTTCGCCAAGCGATAATGATTTTTGCTGAACTACCGCAGTTGTGCTCAAACGACATGTTTTCCATGTTCTGTTAGCCAGAACAGTGAGGCTGAGATGAGCGATACAACTAACTGAAATGTTTTGCTAACTTAGATGATTCTACCATATTTAAAATAAATTTTGGCTTCAATTTACCGATCTGTAGTTTGAAACGTAACAATTACATGACACTATGCGTCAAATTGTGGATCCAGTACGAAGATTCGAATTTTTGAATGGACACAGAATCGAGGTATGATTTAAAAATAATTCAGTCACTTTATACGTTCCTATCTATCTTTTTCTTTGTATCATTATCCTACAGTAATCTTCATAAATCAGTTGCTGTGTGTTCGATGGCTATTACTGAAAAAGAGCGGGACTGTTAGGCAAGTGTCTCGTTGATGAGGTTTAAATAAGATGCGAACAAAAATAGGCATTTTATTTGCTCCTGATCTGTTTTCTGTTCTCTTTTGTTTTCCCTGTATTTTGCGAAATTTCGTTCCAAAAGCTTTTCGTCAGAAAAATTTTCCTTTATTTATATTT